ATTAAGAAAATGTTGCAACGAAGATTGCTTGATAGCGCACACACGCGCGCCGATGTGTGGAAGAAAGTGTTATGCGAAGCAATTGCATAGAGAAAAATATGTGATTCTAGCGTTAAGTATCTACTACGAAACAGAATCAAGGGTAGCGTTGTAGGACTACATAGGACTACGAACAGGAGAGACAGAATAAATTTTTCCAAATTTAGATCGCAAGTTCTTTCTCTTTCTCTCTACGAAAATTCTCCCGTCCTATTTCTTCATCTACTAGTATTGAAAATAGCCATTAAAAAATATGTTCGCACTACATTGGATATTACGTTAGAGCTCATTGATCATTAAAAAGTCTGGTCCAGCCCTTGATCGGTGCTTCGTGCTATTGCTTGAATATCCTCGTAAATGTCTCCGCGAAATGCATGGTCCTTGCAAGATGATATGTACGATCAGCAATGACAAAGCGCTTGTTAAGTCAGTATAAAAGTGTCGAACTTGCCGTTCGTGATCAATTGGTCGATCTCTTGTGCTAGGTGATTTCCACAACTTACAAGACAATATTACTTATGGTTCACAAAGAATTGGAACCGAGAGTTTCACTGCGCTATAACTCGATATCTCATGAATAGTCACTGTCAATGCAAGCCCATGGGAGTATTTAAATGTCGCTAATATATTGTTACAGGATGAAATGTTTCCTTGATATACGGTACCAAGATCAATCATTACAACCTATTAAATTTGCACTCGGATTACTCATCACATTTCCTCGTGTAACATCTTAATTTAAATGGAAAGCGCAGAATTTTTTGAGAGTAAATCTCTCTCACGATTTCGTCAACTATTAATTACCTTTGCTCATATAACAACTCGTAACGGAAATATTCTATAAACAAGGCTGAGAACACTGCTATTTCTAATACTGGAAGATATTGAAAAATACAGATATTTGGTTTGCATTGTCTCATGAAAAGTATGAGTTTGGAACAATGCCGTACGAGAACGCTTACACTTTCTTTTTATTGTTGTAGTCACCTTTACGGAATGCGTAAAAATCTTTTCGATCGCAGTCACATGTTACACCAGTATACAATCATAATACTATTTGTTTCATTGCGCCCGTATTTTTATATCGATAATTATAAAAAATGTTTTTACGTTTACCACATGCGCACAGATAAGAGTATTATTTCATTTCATTTATCTCGAGAAATGATACATACAATTTTATGTAAAATTAATAATATATTACAAAACATTTGACGATGACAATAATAATAATAATAATAATAATAATAATAATAATAATAATAATAATAATAATAATAGTAGTACAAAAAAGTTACTGAGCTTTAGATTTTAATACAATCGAAATAACAATTTAAATTTTATATATCTTCCCGCCCTTTTGCGGTTTTAAAGCGTTGACATTTGACCTTCTTCAAAATGCCATATGGTTTGGCGTTTGATACACATAACCTCAAAAATCAGTAGTATTCACGATGGCAATAACAAAAGAGCATATTCGATTTTCCATCCACTTCGCGTTTCATCTGAAAAAAATGCTGCTGAAGCCACTGCAATGATTTGTGCTACATACAGAGAGAACGCTGTAAGTCATCCTACATAAAAGATATATCATAATACATAAAGATATAAGATGGTATCAAAAATTTCGCCAAGGAGAAGATGAGAGTTTCGGATCAAGACTTTCAGTCTTGAAGATGAACCGCGTGTTGGACGAAAAGATTGAAACGGACGAATTACAAGCACTGCTCGATATCTGCTCGAAACTCTGCACAAATTGAAAAGAAGCTTGCAGAACAGCTTGGCGTTACGCAGCAAACCATTTTCGTATGTTTACATACTATGGGAAAGGTTCAGAAGGAAGGCAGATGGGTTCCGCATGAATTGTCCAAAGACAATAAAAATCGTCGGCGTGACACTGCACTCATTTTGCTTTCAAAGTTCCGCAAAAAAGATTTTCTGCACAAAATCATTACAGGCGATGAAAAGTGGATTCTTTATGATAATCCTAAACGTAGAAAATCATGAGTTGACCCTGACCCTCAACCTTCGACATCGACGCCAAAGCCCAGTATCCATGCCAAGAAGGTTTTGCTCTGTATCTGATGGGATTGGAAAGGTGTGTTGTATTACGAGTTGTTACAATCGGGTGAAACAATCACGGCAGACCGCTACCAACAACAATTGACCAATTTGAGCGATGCATTAGAAGAAAAGAGAATTTACTGGCCAAGGACGTCGTAAAGTGATCTTGCTTCATGACAATGCTCGACCACATGTTGCGAAAGCGACTCAGGACCATATCTTTGCGTTAGTTTGGGAACTTCTCCCGCACGCAGCATATAGCCCAGTAGCCCCAAATAAGAAGGGAGGGTGTGCGTCACGACGGGGCCCGACCACGAACCGTGAAAACTCGTAATTATTTTTGCGAAAAAATACCACCTCAGCCAGGAATCGAACCTGGATCTCCTCTGCTTACCGGGCAGGCATCTTATCCTTTCGACTACCGAGGAATGTGATGATATTTATCGCAAATAACGTGTTTTAGAATAACACGTCAACAATACAATGATACATATATATACATATATTACAATATACATATATACATGTATTCTTTCGAATCCCCCACGACCGGTACTCCAGAGAGATGATGTCCTATTCTCT